TCGGTATGTGTGGTGAGTAGGGGAAAAGTTGTGTGTTGTATAGGGGATACCTCTGGGTTTGTGGTTTGTGATAAGCTTTGTTGTCTTCTGTAGATGTATCTCGCAGTTGCACACCAATCAAATGATATGCTTGCTGTACCCAACATTAAAAGAAGGTCTTGGAATGCCACAAATGGTATCCATCTACTAGCCCCGTACCAAGTGCAGCGGTGGACACTACACGGGCGGACTGATTCACAAAGGAGAGGGCCCTCCAGGCAGTGGTTGGGTAGCGGCCGCAATTATACGGAGGGCGGCTGTTGAAGATGATTTATCATGTGCCCAAGGTCGTCTCGTGGTACCGCGTTCGCGGCCCACAGAACGGTGCCAGGAAACTAAAAGTGGCCACCAATGCCTTGAAGACAATGGAGAGAGGGTGATGTTAGTTCAATGGTGTCTCAAGTGTGTTTCCATAGGGTAGGAAAGTATGTTAAAGATGGTGTGGCGTTGGTTGCCAGAGCGTTTTGACGTTAAGGGGGTACAGAGAGACTGTGATAATTGGTGGTGGGAGAGTTTTTGTGTCGACCCGTCACCCCAATCGAGTGAGAGATCTCATGCTGTCTGGTAAGAGGCCCATGCTTCAGACCAGAAATGGTTTGTAACATACCTTCATCTGCTAGATAATGCGTACAGCTAGAGGAGTAAAATGAGGTTGACAGACCATGGGTGCAGATTTCAACCTATGGACGAGAGTGCATGCCACTTGACCACGAAGCCGCCCCAAAGGTATTTTGTGGCAGAATGATGGTAGTTCAGTTTAACTACGGTTGTGGTCAGGGAACAAATCCCAAGAGAAAAAGAGCGAGGGGGGTTCGACCGTCGCTTCGTTGTCAGACAGGCCGACATGGCCCAGATTGGACAGGTGGTCCTTCAGCGAGAACTGCGTCATAACGGACCGCACGGGCAGGGCCTAGCTCTCTACGCTCGACCGACGGGTGTTTTGTGTTCTTTCCGTCATGGCTTGGGGGTGGCGTTTTTTCGTACTGTTAAGGTTTCTTCCGGATATTTTGTGTTGCTGTAGTTGATTACCGGCCCATGCATCCTCCAATGGTCACCTGGGACCGTAAGACACTTGCAACAGAACTAACCATGGTGAGATCTGTCAAAGCACAATATAGTTAACTTCGGGCAATGGTGTGGATGGACATGGAGCTTTTCCACATGTGGTTCTGTATACCATTTTTTCAGGTTTACGCTCCTTCAGTTCGACCCCTTCTCTTACTGAGGACGGGCACTCTCACACTACTGCCCTGACACCATTCGCCTTGCAGCACGTGAAGGGTTATCCTTTTCAATTGCCTTCCCACACCACCCACATGTTGCAGCTCTGGATAGGGGGTGTTTCGGACCATCCAATGCATGGAGGGAGGAATGCCACCAGTACATGAGTGAGCATCCAGAAGGGTTGTTACATAATTTCAATTCTCAACAGTTCAGCAGAGCTGGAGCAGAGTATGACGAGGCAATGTCACCGCTGCTTCAGAGTTACGCGTTTATCCGCTAAATCGGAATGTGTTCTCTGGACATTCTGTTGCAAAGCTTAGCCAAGGAAAAGGTCTCTTCCTACCAAAGCATAGCCCCCCATGTGCAAGTCAAATAAGCGAGTTGTCTTTGATTTTACCGATGAAGAGATAAGTCTCTTTGAAAGGCGGGCTATGACCTGACTGGTGACAAGCATTACAACCTGTGGCTGTCTCGATACCACCCCGAGTCAAGTCTGCAGCAATTGCCATACAATAGCACTGCAGTCAGCAGCTTCCTTAGTTACCCCTCACCACCAGCTAGGCTGAAACATTTGAAGCCAAAAGTCTAGTGGAAGAGTGCTAACCAGCACTGAAAACTTAGCTCTGGTGAAAGAAAAAGAGAGGCAGAAGGAAGAGAAGCAAAGAAAGAAGGAGGAGAGGGAAAGAAAAAAGAAGGAGAGAGAAGAGGCTAAATTTAAAGACACCATGAAAGGCTCACTGAGTAAGAAAGGCTTCCTTGACAGTTGTTTTAATAGCTTAGTGTGATAGCCCTTCTAGTCACTGGTTAGTGGAAATGTTGAACATTGTTGGCGAGCGGGAGCGGCCCAACTTGGATTTGCCTGCGATGTTCAGGCTGCTGCATAACGTGCCGTCAGCGCACAGCTTTCCTTTCGTGAAGCAAGACAGATCTACCTGTCGTTGTTACATGCGTATTGTACATCAGAACGGTACTTACCTTACGCTTTCAGCTCGACAGGCACCAGGCAGCTGGCATGCAGCAGTATGTGCACGAGCAATCCTAGCGTATTTGCAAGTTGCTGAAACCATGAAGATTGGGAAGAGGCCTCGGTTAGTAACCGAAAATTGCAGCGCATGCCATCGAATGGAGGAGACTCTCGCTGGCTAGATCGATCGGCGCATATCGCGAGGCACCGTGTGTGAAAATGTGTAAAAATTAGGAAATATTTCGGATAAAAAGAAGCGCGTACAAAGTCGCGCTGCGCACTTACATGACGTACCAACGATAAATATATAAATAAATAGAAAAATCGGCCCGTTGCGACGACTAGTTTGCTCGCTCCCGCTCCCTAATTTATGTGTATTACACTTGCAAGACAGAAGAAGGCTGGAGTATGTAGTAAGCTGGCAGGTACATACAAAAAGCATATGATTTGGTGTGGAGGCGTATACCCACTGTGTATTTTTAGTACCATGAGCCATTTGCGCTGAAGCACACTGCAACATGCACTGATGTGTTTCCAGGATTGAGACGTTGCAGACAAAGTACTCCTGTGACAGAGACCTTCCATCTACCGCATATTATATCAACACTTGACTCAGGTACTACATAGCATAGAGAAACATCTGTCAGAGTGCCAAATGTTAACCTCTAAATTATTTTCCTGCAGATATTGAAGACAGTGATGGTGACTGGAGGTGTCTGTCAAGGCTACATGTCCCAGACCATGGTTATTAATATAATATTTTACCAATGTTCAGGACGTCCAGGTTTAGTGGATACTCTAGACGTATTGACACATGTGCTACACATCTATCCCCAACACTAGGAACTAGACTGCAGTCAGATGCTGCTCTGTCAGACAGCGAATCAGGACTGAAACGTTCAGGACAAGGACAAAAATGTTCAGGCTCAGCTCATGGAATAAAAAGGTATAAATGTACAATCATTTTACACCTTTAATTAGTTTACCCTACTCTCCTTCAGGGTCAAGTTCTTGCTTTTTGAAGACATGCCAGCACCCTACAGCGTATATATAAGTGGGTGGAATGTGAAACCTGCAACTCCTGGTTTCCCACTGTATTTGCGTGTCAGTGAAGCCTAGCCAGGCGTCACCACCTACTTTCCACTTCGCTTCAAGTGTTCCTTTTGCAACTAATAAAGAAGTTTTTGTTGCGCATGCGCGTGTGGGCGCTTAACTGCCCATAGTCCGAAAATAGAGGGCGTGACCCCCGCGCTTGGCTCAATCGTGAGCTGCTTCTGCCGAATTTTGACGAAACATAGATATGGCGTGTCTATAGAGGAAGGGTAGCTTTACATGTGCACTAGCTTTGGAATCTCCCCCGTCCTCTCTCAAAGTGTTGGTGGCGAGCGTCCGGAAATTGGTAACTTTTCCCGATCTCTGGGGTTATCGGACGTTCACTCATAAAATCGTTTGTGTGTAAGGCAGGACCGAAATTTCTCGAATACCTAGCCCACGTGTACCTGTCTATATATTGGTAATGTCTAGCTTATTTCATAGTCTTACAAACGCGTCCGAAAATTGATGGTGGCCGATAATAATTATTGATCGCTGACTCTACTTTCGCATGCGCACGTACGGTCGTAGAAATTCCGCGCCTTTCCTATACACCACTAGGTTAGATCGCTCCCGCTCGCCAACTATATATATACTTGAGCGTGCGATTGAACCCTGGGGTGCTTATGTAAACTTCTGCATGGCGCTAGTTGACATTTTATAGTGTATAGCTGACACAGTTACTACCAACATTTACACATTCTCTCCATCTGCCAGCCTTCTGGGGTACATATATACATAACAAAGTGGATTCAATCAACTACAGACCAGAGAAAGTGGCAGAGGCAGTCATATCTCCAGATAGAGTTGTTTATATATTTACTGTATAATATTGCTCAGAAAACCTAGTGAAACATAGCTTATTGGTTACACTACAACTGTACTAGCTCAGAAGTGGACAATACAAACTATGCCCCTAAAAAATCAATAGTGAAAGTGTCATTATCGAAACTGGACATCAGGCCTGGTCCACCTTTAGGGGACGCTATACACAATCAACGCGCGACAGCATTGACGCAGACGATAATTCATCGCCAGTTTCAATAACCGGTCGCGGCGTCCGCTCTGCCGCCGCGTGTTCTCTCTCGGATTCCGCTTTCTCCTCCCTCCTCACTTGCAGCATCCTCAGCTCTTACTGGATATTCGTCTGGACAGCCTTTTCAATGGCGAGCGGCAGCCATAGTGATGGTGAGTCTCTAATACGAAGCAATCACTTGCGGGATGGTTCACCTCGTTCGCAAGAACGCTGAAGCGCTCGTGGTAGCGTGCGAAAAGTTCCTCGCGAACAATTGAATTCAGGATGCTACTCAGAATCTTCACAACTGAACTGGTTTTTCATATATAATTTTAGTTTAGCTATTGCTGTTATGCAAGATACTTTCAACCGCGGCTATAATAGCGGACCCCTGCCGCGAATGTTTTTGGGTGTGCGCATGCGCATGCGCCGCACCAACATGTTACACTGCTAGACAGTAGAATCCTAGCAGAGCTGTATATTGGATACATGAAGTTCAAGTGCCTCGACAAATGCATAATGCGGAAAACGCTGGTATATATATAACACCACCATGTAAAATTCACAATAAGATCATGTTTACATTCCAGTGAACGAAAATCAATACTAAGTTGGAGGTAAAGAGTGCATTAGTAGATGCTGAGTTGACAGGTTTTCACTTTCGGAACGGCTGTCCTTTCGGTCCTTTCTTGAACCTCAGACTTCTCCTACCTGTACCATTGTCTAAGTAAGTGTGCATGTATGGAAGGGAAGGAAAGAGAAACACATAATGGGGCGGCTGTGTGATGTACCAATGGGTAAGGTTCTAGGTGGACTGCAAGTCAACTATATCAACCATTATTCTCATTGCACACATGCATTACACATGCTACAAGAGTGGTTGCATGACAGTGCAAAAGTCTATGGATCTGTATATAGGACATTATGGTAAGGGTAGAAACATTATAAGAAGTGGGTGTATTTCAGACAACAAAATTGGATACTAAACATACACATTAAGAAGTGCATGCATTTCAGATAACAACATTGGATACTAAACATACACATTAAGAAGTGCGTGCATTTCAGATAACAAGGTAGGCTCGCTTCCCACCCAACAAACCTCTCTGAATCTGCCCTTTGACTGAGTTCTGGGACCACCACTTGATGACGGAGCTGAGGCTGAATGAAGAGGGGAAAGAAGAGAGATGAAGAGAAAGCCAAGGAATGCATATATGGCATATGATGGATCCATGCTTTAATATTTAAGCATGCATTGAAGTAGAGGGGTCCAAGGAGGAGAGAGAGAATACGTCACTTACAAGATGGCTTGTCCCAAACAATTGGCTGTCTCTTTCTGCGACTTGATGTCTACCTTCGCTGGTTGGTTTAGTGGAAGTAGAGGCGGTAGCTGACGTGGTCACCAACGAACTGGGGAGGAAAGGGATGTGTCACAATCGTAGTTCACCCGTTAGGAGCCAGACAGAGACACGAGTAACAAAGACTGATAAAAACCGTGTAGCTACAACACACTGCAACAGATTTGTTGGACGTTCCTAAGCAACCGACATGTATGAACACCTCTCCATTGTCTGGAGTGTGAAAAACCAATGAATACAGAGTAATGAGTACACAGTGTACACAAGCAGCAATGTACAGCATAATCACAGGGTGACTAATATTGAAGTTTTTGTCGAAGAAGAGGAGTACATGAAGTTAAAAACTAGTCATAAAAGAGTTCTGCAGGTAGCTTATCGAGGAACATTTCATCCGCGGTTGGAAAGGATGTGCAGGTGGATGTTACTGGCAACTCGGAAGACGTCACCAGTGTCACTGCTGTGGTAACCGCAGCACAACAGGAGCTAGTACACCTGCCACGCGTACGTTATGTGTTGTGGTGGAGGCCGTTGCCCACACGCACCCAGACGGGGACAGCAATTGCCGGCACAATTCCCCGTAACCACCATTCATACATGTCGGTTGCTTAGGAAAGTCCGACAATACATACACATCAATGCATGCACAAATACAACACAATGTACATATGGCATATGTGTTTAGAACACACACCTTTTTCTTCTTCAGCGACCTCGCCCTTTTCTCCCTCTTCCTCGGTCTCTTCGTCTCCACTACTGGCTACGGCGGCAACCATACTGTCTATGACATCATCACACTCTCGTTCGACCAATGACATCGCAGTGGCCTGGTCACGTGACTCAGTGGACATAGGGACAGTCCCCGCTCGACCCGAGATCAATGATTGTTGTTAACCTAGCAGCTGGAGACCTCCGGTATCTGGACAGGAAACGGGAAGAGAATATATCAGACCAAATTTGAACATTAAGTTGCAGAAAGTATTAGGAAATAACAGCAAGTATAAGAACACAGATACTTCAAAGTTACGCGAAATACCAAAAACCATTTTTTGATTACGACTTACACAAATGAGGCTATTCAAAAAAATATGTGGTCGTCATGGAAATGATGTAATACTAACACCATGTGTACCAAGTTTCACCTCCATGTATGGGCTGAAAGCGCAGTACTAAAAAAAGAGCCAGCAGGTATGACAAAAGCAGCTAATCAGGGTGGGCCAAAGAAACGCAGACTGAAGAGAGGGATTGTGTATAATAACCTGTTTCCAGACCAGCTTGTAAACTCTCGGGAACAGTAACTTGTCTCACTTCCAGCGGAGTTGTGGGAGAAAAGGAATACAGTATATAAAGTTGAGCACTAAAGAAGAAAACACAGACATACCTGATTATAGTGCAAACCCTTCATGCACATGCATGCACATGATATCCATTTCAACACCCATACACATGCGCAGGTTGCTGATTGACGGGCAGGGTCACACCGCATTATGCAACTCTCTCTACTGGGGCTTTGCGTCTCAAATGAAGTAAAACAGTGGAAAGATAACTTCTATGAAATGACATGTGTTGTGCATAGTTACACAGCGAGGGGCTTCAATACGTAACACTGCTCCACCGAGAGCTAGAGATTTAGTTGTGCTTACGTGTAGATTTGTGAGTAGGTAATAATAACATCGCCAATTATCAAGCTTTGCGACAATCTCATGGTATGACGAGTTGATTGACAAGCAGAATAACCGGTTTAGACTAACAACAATAGGAGGGAGAAGGCCTGTTTTCGAGAATAGATAGGTCTAACTTAGAATGTACACATCGTGTCACGGCGCACGCACACCTCAAAACATCCCACCGTGGTCCTACACGTTGTGTATGCTCAGCTATATAGTAGGCGCTTGACGGCAACTACTGCGGGGCATCATTCTCCTCTTTACAGCGGATGTCTTACCAACTCAGGTCTTTCCTGCTGCAGCGCCTGCTCCCGCAACTCCAGCCGTCAAGCGCCTACTATATAGCTGAGCACGTGCGCTATAATAACATGCACGTGATAAAACCAGTGTGACCTTTGACCTTCAACGTGCAAAGCAGGGGTTCACAATGTCGCTGTACCGCTATTTTCTGCCTCTGAAAAGGCCCTTTCTCCCTGACCCCGAAGAGGAGAGCTCAAGTTCTGGGGCAGCTGAGCTGCATACAGTCAACCAGAAGACGCTCAGCGCAGGAGACCGTCGACACAGTAGGCGTAAAAGTCCTAATCTGTTTGTAAAATCGCTAAATTTTCAGGCGGAAAATGAGTGTTCACTTCACCAAAATCGCTAAACTATAGGGCAGGTATTTGTTTACCTGACTTCAGGCTTATGTTTTTCCTTCTCTATGTGCCTAGTTTGCTCCTGCAGCAGACGAGGGTGAGGTGGCCGGCTATGTGGCAAGCAAAGGGAGGTTGGAGTTTTTGTCTGTTTTCTGTTTCAGGGACATGTACTAGACTACCCTGGAATAGGAAAAGTATTGGGGGTGGTGGGTTCAGGTGGAATTCAGGGATGCGCCTTCTGCGAATTGTCTGGTCAGCGAAATGAAGTGCTTCACAAGACCCTGTATATGGAGAACCTTCCTACATCATCTACTTTGAGAGACGATACTGTCAGGTATAATAAACTTCTAGAAATACATTATACTACAGCATGTAATTTTGTCCAGTTTTCCTGATCAATGTGCAGAAAGAAGACCATGTCCTAAACTGAAGGAATATGAGAAAATGAAAGACTACCATTTGGCATATAATAGAGCACCAACTAGGTTGTGAATTTGTTGTATTTCCCCCGCATAATTACAATAGAGCTATGACTATATAACAGAGCACAAACAAGCCTTATTGCAAAGTCAACCGGTTGCAGAGGGACCTATGCCCTAATGAAGCTACCAGAACACAACAGGCTGATGCAGACAGTCCCTGATTGCATGCACACTGTCAAAGATGTCATTGAGAAAATTGTATGCCTAGTAACAGGTGGAAAATGTAATGCAATAATCTCTGGATTTACAGTATTCATTATCTGTACAGGAAAAGCTGATGAACAGAAAATAGAACTGGCAGAACGTGGCCGCCTTAGTGGAGACCTATGGAAGATATCGAGCAAGGTAGCCGAGGAAAGGCTGTCACACCTTCAGATACCAGCCCACCTAGACGTCAAATTTACACATGTTTTTAGCCACCCTTCACGTCTGAAGTCACATGACTGGAAACAGGTTTGTTGAACTTTTGTAAACTTTGTTGCTTAGTTAATCGCACACACACAAGATTGCAGGTCAGGGTATTCTGAAGTATTGCTTTAGGGACATGCTCGGGCAGCAGCAAAGAGAATCATTTTTTTTTTTTCTGATGCGATAACTGAGCTGCTATCGGAATCTCACAAGAAAGATTCCCTGAATGAGCTAGAAGAAAAAGTCTACCTCTCACTAGCCCTTCTTGAGAGAGACTTCCCTAGGTCTCTGCAGGTACTATATTGATATAAATGACTTATGCCAACAAGCGTGTTTTAATTATTGACAGGCATAACTTTGGAACCAAATGTGTGATTTAGGCCGAGGTCATCCTGCTCCCAGAATGCCCACCTTCGATGAGAGACTTCAGGAATGGGTCCTCCAATGACTCGCAGAGCTTCTTGCAGTCCCTGGTGTGGTATAGTACACCCTGAAGGTCTTTGAACAGAAAGACGCGTCTGGACGCGCCGCAAAATTTGCGTCCGAACGCGTGTGCACGTCTAATTAACTGCGCGTGAACGGATGCAACCGAACGATAAAGAACGTACTTCGTTGCCCGTTAAGCAAGGTGGTATCGTTTGTGAGACGAACAGACATTCGAGAGGTGAGATGTAGAGTAACGGACAGACAAACAGACAGACCCAACTAGTGTAACCCTCGCTGCGCATGCGCGCTGAGGATTAACAATGTGTGAATGTACTGTGCATCTACAAACCTGTTCAACTTGTTTCTGAATCTGGTTCAGAGAGTCTTTGTCAACTTCAGCAACAACCGCTCCTTTTCCAAACTCTGCCTCTCCTCCTCTTCCCCACCGCCTCGCTCTGCCTCCGCAGACGATGTCGTCATCTCGACCGAGGTTTCCTGCAGCTCCGAAACCCGTTCAACAAGTTCCTGACTGGTCGACGGCTGGAGGCTCTCCGAGCTCTCGACGTACACCGAAATCACCTCTTCCTCCCCTTCCACCTCCACCTCTCGCTCTGTTCCCGTTCTGTGTTGGCCGTCTCCATTCCATGCTTTGAGGAAGGGCCCGGTTCTAGTACTGCAATGGGACCTTGAGATACAACGGCTTCAGAGGGTATGACTTGCATGGCTTCGTCAGCTCTGAAAAAGAACAAAAGGTTAATTCACATACAATTTTCAAGCAAAGGTTAGAAAAATTTTCAAGGAAGGTTTAGAAAAACTTACTCTTGAAATGGAGAGGAGCCAGCTGCCACGGTGACGTCGTGTTCCCTGGTGAAGTGTGACGGGTGGGCCTGGTGAAGTGTGAGGGGTGGGCCTGGTGACTCTGTGAGGGGGTGGAGGCCTCGTCCCCTGACGACTCTGGCACCTGCTGTCTCGCTCTCTTTGTCAGCGGAACCTTCTCCGAACTACATAGGGAGAGAGACAGAAAACGAAGTGAGATGTAACACCACTGCCCGCACTCTGCTTCACTTCATGCAAGAGAGAGAGAACTTGTTGAGGAAACATACAATTCTTATACTTTTCTACAATTCTCTAACTCTAAATCTCAAACGTACTAGACAGTATTATGTGAAAAGGTGAAATCACATCCTGTAATAACATGCGCTACAACTGCCACCCTGGCTAATTTGGGATTTTCATTGCCTGGGTTCCAAGTGACTAACTTTCTCAGATAGTGCCTTTCCTTGGGATTTCTCAGGCTGACTCAAAGGCAGATTGAGTAGAAAATAGGGAAGAGGAAAACACTTGGCCTTGTCCCTGCAGCTACCCCAGCAGTGTGTAACTGTGTCAACTGCTTACCACTCCCAACCTCACGTTTTCAACACTTTTTCCCACCACAGGGCGCTATTAGCGGTAAGCTACCCACGAAAAAGGCGGGCTATAATCGGAGGGCCACCTGCACTGTCAACAACGATCACCCCCACAGCTACCGCAGGCTCTGTCCTTCTTCCCCAACTGCTCCCTCGCTGTTCACACTATGAAATGTAGCGCCAGTTCCAGTCACGCTCCCCGTAAGACTCACGCAACTCACCGTCGCCGCCGCGTCGGAAGAACGTTCGCGGCCCTCCAGTCGAGGGATCCCTGGTCTCGCTCCCTTTTTCGGTACCAGTCACGCTCGCTGTCCCCTTTGCACCTCTGTCCCTCGCTCTCTCCCTTCGCTGCCCCGGGCATCGGCTGAGGGTTCGACGAAGTTTTCTCCCAGCAAGCTCCTCTGCCGCCCGATGCGCATGCTAGGTCAGCTCGGGTCAGCACGCACGCAAGAGTTCCGGGTCCTCTAGGGCCATCTGCAATAATACCCCGTAGGTCTTGAGCATCGGACGCCTGCGGATCGCTCGTGTCTCCGGCTCCAGCTCTCCCCTTCCACGACGAAGTCTGTCCGACCGCGGTCGAGCACACGCCGTTGCACCGTGCGTTCCGCCGCGGTATAAAATGACGTCATATCCTGAATGATGCGCATGCGCTCAATCGGTAAAGTAACTCGGGGACGCACACGTGCGACAGTCCGATGGAGGCAGTGGTTTTGTTTGACTATGAGAAACAGGAAGGCGATGAGCTGAATCTCAAGGTTGGAGAGGTCATTACCAATGTCACACAGGTACATTCGTACTCGTGGTGTCTTTTGTCTTAGAAGGAGAGACTGAGAGAGCACGTAAAACTAGGTTTCAGATGATTTGCCTTCCAATTCCTCCACTGAACGTAGGAAGCGGTTCATAGCTTTTAAAAATCCTACCATAATACTGTGCGGGGATTGCTGACCACTGTAATTGCTTTTGTTGGTGTAGCTACAGATCTTCTATTACTTACAACCCATGATTAGCACAGTTGCGGCATTTGGTAACTCAGAGTTGCCTGGCCAGTGCAGCTATAATTCTGTGAGTTAGCCTTGTTCCCAAACCCTTTCATTTGGATAAGAGCCTATATGGCACAATCGCACATGTGCGAGATATTCCGTAAAATCTCCGTAAGATGTTCCGTTTTACATAAGCCAAAAATTCCTCAGAGAGTGTTTACCAAGCCTCCAGTGGAGCTAAAAGCATCCACTGTAAGGTCTGCCTCGTTTGTGTATACCTTGTCCACAGTCCACCATAGGAGGCTGTAGCTCCGTCCTCTTCAAATTTGTCGTGATGATCTCACAGGAAACCCTTCTCTAGCCGCATACAGTTGCTCTATACAGTATCTGTGCTGATACGTCAAACTCTGCATCAATTGTTTTGTAAACTACGGTTGATACACTGGCAGGCGGTGTACATATTATACGAATGTAGCATGGGGAGAACACGGATGATATAAGCATATCCGGTATCCCCAACTTTCTGGGGATGAGCGGGTAAGGTTGTACTAGGCTGTTCTTCCTCCCTCTCAAAATAACGGCCTGAAAACGAGGCTACTGTATCTGTCAGTGCGTTCAAGCTACCTAAAGCAAGCCATTTTGTGCACAAAGGTATGTAATGTATAATTGAACTAAGCACTGTTTGTGGAATTTATGGGAATCCTTGACTTGTGGGCATTCCCTTTTAGTATCATTGAATTCAAGAGGGGTGGCAAGTACAAAGTTACAGAACCTTTGCTGCCTGTGTGCATATTACCAACAGGTGCGATCACTGGGTATAACTTCTTCTGTTTCTCTATTCTCTCTGTTCCATGCATGAATTACACCCCACCTCTATCCCCACCCCCTCCTCCCTCTCTCTCTTCAGGTGTATCACGGCTGGTGTGAGGGGACCAACGATGGGGAGAGGGATGTTTCCAGACACTTGTGAAGATTGAGGCCAACCACAGAAGATGTGCCCTCTCCAGCTGAGAGAGAACAACAATCTGAAAGACCACACCCATTGTCACACCCACAGAGCCAGCTTCCGGAGAATCCACAGATACAGGTATGTATGTATGTATATATCTCAGCCCTACCCTTACACTCTCTCACATCTTCGTTGTGACCAGACTCAGGTGAGGTGCCTAAGGGCCAGAGAGGCAGGGTATTGTACGGATACGAGGCAAAGCGTTCTGATGAGATATCACTGGAGCCCGGACAGGTGAGAGGTATAGTGGCCATATGACTATAGTCACTAGTGTATTATACCTGCAGATAGTGGTATGTGTTGTGGGATGAACTGGTGAACGGATGTGTCAATGTCGAATGGGAGAAACAGAAGGAGACTTCACCAGCTATGTGCAACTTCTCGACTTCCGACCACCACCACACGCCACCCAGACAAAAGCCACCCTTGTCACACCCACGACCAGCCAGCTTCGGACGAATCCCAGATACAGGTATGTATGTAGTTGTATATCTCTATGCCTACCCTTACAACTGCTCTCACATGCTTGCGTGTGACCGATACTCAGTGTGTGTGACTCTGAAGGGCAGCAGGTCAAGAGGCAGGGTATGTACGGATTCGAGGCAAAGCGTTCTGGTGAGATATCACTGGAGCCCGGACAGGTGAGAGGTATATTGGCCATATGACTATAGTCACTAGTGTATTATACCCTGCAGATAGTGGATGTGTTGTGGGATGAAGGTGACGGATGGTGTCAATGTCGAATTGGAGAAAACGAGGGATACTTCCCCACCAGCTATGTGCAACTTCTCGACTTCACCCACCCACAAGCCACCAAGACCACACCCCTTGTCACACCCACAAAGGCAGCTTCCGGAGAATCCACAGATAAAGGTATGTATGTGTAAACTATGAGGTAGAAAGGCAAAGGCACAACAAACAGATCAACTACTCCCAGGACAGTTCTTTTTTCCAAGGAAAAATAAAGAGCTGCCCTAGGTGGGATTCGAACCCACCTAGGACACCTCTTTCTTTTCAAAGAAAAGAAGAAGAGTTGCCCTGGGTGGGATTCGAACCCACGACACTCTGCAGTCTAGGCAAGCGCTCTACCAACTGAGCTACCAGGGCAACTCAGCTGGTAGGGTTCGAATCTACAACACAAGGCAGACCTCAAACCACTGTGCTATGGCACAGTATACTCTCACTTAGTATGCAGTAGCAGACCGGGGTATGTATGTATCTCAGCCCTACCCTTACACTCTCTCACATCTTCGTTGTGACTAGACTCAGGTGAGGTGCCTAAGGGCCAGAGAAGCAGGGTATTGTACAGATTCGAAGCAAAGAGTTCTGATGAGATATCACTGGAGCCCGGACAGGTGAGAGTTATAGTGGCCCATATGACTATACTCACTAGTGTATTATACCCTGCACAGATGTGATGGTGTTGTGGGCGAAGGGTGTGACGCGATGGGGTCGGATGATCGATTGGGCTAGAAAGACGAGGATACTCCGCCACCAAGCTATGTGCAACTTGGCTCGCCTTCATACCCACCCACAAGCCACGCAACAAGACCACATACCCCTTGTCACAACCCCAGAGCACAGCTTCCAGAAACCATACCAAACAGAGTATGCGTTGAGGCTGGGCTACTGTGATCACCGCTTGTAATTCAAGGGACATGTGTGGGGGTATGAGAACTGACACTTTTTGCTTGGCACACTGAGCTGTTGATCAATTCACTTTATTGGTCGAGTGTTATGTGTGGGGTTGGTTATTCTACCTTTTGCATGGGAGAGTGTGAAGTGAGGATAGAGGAAGGCACATCGTGAAAAACAAGAGAATTGGGATTATGTGTACAAAACAGAGTACATTTATAACTTATTGTTTCCACAGGATTACCAAGCAACTGTAGGTAAGTGGATCGCATTGTTTCAACAAATACAGACATTTTCTTGTTTCCCGTTTGTGATCCCTTTCTTATCATCTTACTTCCAGGTCCGACATACGGTATGTGTAATGTAGTCTCAGTTACAGAGTGTGAACAAAGGTTATATGTAAGTGGTTTAACAAATTTATACTGTGTTTTGATAAAAGAACTCCACAGGCTAGTGTGGTGGCTTCTTTGTGCTGGCTTCAGTTCTCACTCAAACAAAACAGTGAAGCAATCGCCCCTTTTTTGTAATTAAAAAACGGCCAAATTATGTGCTATGTCATCTGTGAAATCATAAACCTATCACTTTTCTTTGTGTTCATATGTAAGCGGCCTCTGCAGTTTCCCTGAAATGACTAAAGAGCTATGTAGCTTCAGTACTACGTCAACGTCAATTCTATTTGCATTGCCATGGCTACAAATACATGTACATAGGTTAACCCATGGTGGCGCATTGATCCCCTTGCACACGTAAAACACCACTAATTGACTGGTCCACACCACACGGTGTAACCCGGAGCCAGTGTCTCACTCTCTAATACAGGCTAGTTTCATCACTGATAGTGGAGTAACAAAGGTCTGAAGTTATGTAATAGAGTACCGGGATCGATAATGATAGAGCTTCTAGTCCAGATGCTGGTGCATGCACATAAATGATGATCCCAGCACCATGCAGTATTCTAGACACAGCAGGTCACATCCTCAGAGAATTTTCCAGATTTAAAATTAACCTTTAGCAAGCCACGGGCATATACATATATACATGCCCAGAGCCTCCATTATGGCTATAATACCAGGCGTTAATATGCTATACATCAACTTCTGCTTATTTAAGGAGATACGTGGCGTCCAAAGGGTTATTAAAGAGTGGCCTTAAAATATTTTGGCAGGTGTATGTATATTATACAGCTTTGCATGCACATGGCAAGTCCACTTCCTTTCATGTATAATATGTCGGAAATTCGCCACACTGCTGCAGTGCAGTCTGGGTTATTAGCATGATGTGACTCAGATGTGTAAGGCTTAGGATGGGTTAGGATTCACCGTCATAATAAACCCTCGGCCGCATGCGCAACGAGGTTTACAATACTTGGTCTGTCTGGTCTGTCCACTGTGCTATTCTGGGAGGCCTGTGAGTGGCACCAATGCCTTCGGAGTAACGAGGGCATGAATAGTACAATTTTCCACAAATCACTGCATTCAAGAGTTATGGTGTGAAACATGAGTATGTGCAAATGAGCATGGGTTACCTCGACTGGTGCTTGCCAGTTAAACGCACTGTGGGGGCACAAAGTTACTCAGTGGACGAATATTCGTTGTTCAAGACGGCAGTCACTGACGTTGCTAGCCCAAGTTGGAGCGAGAAACTGACATCGTCTGCAACAAAATGACATGGCCCAGCGCCATCATTTTAGTGGTGCTTTTACACATGCATGGTGCGAAGGGTAACATCAGGGCTGGCTTGGGTGCAGCTATAAATGTGAGAGTGTCTTGCGCTGAGGGTTTGTACTTTAGTCCTTTCTTTTTAATAATGTCGTGCATGTGTAGCGTCCGAGGCCTTCGCTGAAGGTGGTCGTAGCGCTCTCCCTCTGCCGCTATCGGTGCTTGGCGCAACAGTACTTATGCGATAGTACACCATTGATACAGTGATCGTGGAGGGATCTCCCGACTGACCAGGACATACAACTTTTATAAAATGGTCTTACACAACTGCGCATGCACACAAAAAATGTTCTAGAATTTTCTGGCGTCACCATGTGTAAATTGTGCCAAAAAGCACTACTTATCTGTTCTGTTTCCATAATATGAACAACAAAGATACAGAGATCAAGTTGTGGATCACTTTTTGTTTCAGTACAGCATTTCCATGTGCAACTGTATCGTGTTTTGGCTTGCATATCCATTTTAATTATTGCTGTTATCAAGTTATTGATCACATATCTGTTTCAGTACAGCCATATACTTTTGTAAGGATATGTGCTAGTAGTATAATTATGTCACTTCCTACTTCCAGCTGATCTGGATCTCCGAAATCCGAGAACAGGAATGGATTTACCAGGTCAGCAGAATCAGTGCCAGTATTCATATTATGCAGAAGTGTAACCTTCAGCGCGCATGCTCAGCGAGGGTGATACGGTACTTGGTCCGTGTGTCTGTGTGTCCATTCCTGTTTTCTGCCACTAGGCACAACAGGACTTGCAAACTTCCTACGCCACGGGTTTCCGGCCGCTACATTTGCTTGATTTTAAAACTGACCATTTTCGTAAAAGCACTGCATTCAAAAGTTATGGCGTGAAAACCAAGTGAATAAGCCAATATGCTAATTAGCAAAGGCTCGACCAGGTCCGCTTGCTCTGTGTATCTTGAAGGCACAAGAAGTCACAACGAGGGGCATGTATCGACTCCCGCATGCTATCTACTAGCCCGTGTCAGACTCTCCGCACGCTAAAAAA